GCCGAAAACAATCGCATTAATGAAAATTTGGAAATCCAAAATTTCCGGATTGCGGGTCTGGATCCAGCCTGGAATATTTTTCATTTGCTCACGGAGTCGGTCTGTTTGTAATGGTATGACATGTTGGGCGACGACCTTTAGGCGCAAAGTTGAAATGAGTGACACACTGACATTCACATTTATTATATAGATGGTTGCTTTTGTGGTGTGAGTATTGCGCCAAGGATAATAAATCTTTTCTTTTTTTTTACTATTTGATTTTGATAGTAATTTAGTTTTATTTGTGAGAAGCTGTCTAATGTTACTATGATCCTCATGCTGGTTATTAATACGTTGTGTGGCTTGGACGACATTTCTTGTATCCCCCCCCGAAAAGACAATTTCGGATGGAATTTCCATCTTGTCTTAGAATGATTATTCTTAATTTCCAAAAGTCGATCGGTAAAATTTATCAACACAAAATGTTAGTAATTTTTAATCGTGTATATATATATATATATATATATATATATATATATATATATATATATATATATATATATATATATATATATATATATATATATATATATATATATATATATAGTTGGTTGTTATGGCGTTTGCCTGTCAATGTAACTGTCCGAATTTCAATTCTCGGTAGTGGATGCGTACTGCTGATGAGTCCCAAATATAGGACGAAATGGTCGTCCAATGCTTTCTGCATTCTGTTGAAGTTTCTTCTAGACTCGATGAATTACTTAATTATCTCAAATCCTCCTTAATTTTTATCATTTGTATATCCTCGCTTGAACCGTCTTCTAATGTTCTGGTTAGTGATGGTAGTCGTAGCTCTTGGAGTCACAGTCCTATGGATAAAAGAACTTGGATGAGTTCCACCACGGAATATGTGAATGAGCGGCGCAATATGGAGTCTAGTTCGCTACCGCTTCGTCACCGTGGCCCGTTAGTACAGTTTGTATGACGTTTGCCTGTCAGTGTGACTGTCCGGGTTTCAATTCTTGGTAGTCGGTGCGCACTGCTGATGAGTCTCAAATAAAGGAAGAAACGGCCGACCAGTGCTTTCAGCATTCTGTTGAGGTTTCTTCTAGACTCGATGAATTACTTAATTTTTATATAATTATTTGTTGGAATGACCAAAAATGAATGAAAATAAAAGACAAGTGTATTTTAACACATAATAAAATAACTTTTATTCATTTACTGCCTGAGAACCGCAAGGAATTTTTGGATTTAAACCATGAGCTCCACGTGCGTGTTAGCTCATCACCATGTTGAATTCATAAGCGTCGCGATTCATCTAGTAGACAAGAGCAGTAACTCCATTGTATTTTGTGTTATTCTCCTTTATAGGGAAAAGTAAGCAGTAAAATAACGGTAAAGTGGACTTTAATTTAGTCTATGGAAGGTTTGATGGTCGTAATTGGTTTGCATGGCGAACCCAGACTGAAGACTGTATATCCATGTCATACGTAAGAGCGACGTATAATGCGTCTTCGGATTAATTTTTCTCTACCGTTACGGTCATCTTTTGTGAGTACAAGCTTTCCTGATAAATATCTGTTTCACTGCTCTATGATGACGCTTAAATTGTTCTTCCATCACCGTGTTCCTTTTTAGGCAATTGTTTGTAGGTGGCTGGATGGCATCTATGTGTAAACAAAATTTACGGTTCATCTGTGCGTCTACTGTTGAATTTCCATTAGGTGTGTTTGGATTGGGTTTAGCGCCGTGACTTCCCGGGAATATTTCTTGTGTGGTTCCCTCCCCTTCAAGTTTGAGGAGTGATCTCTTAAAAGGTATCTACAAAATGCTCTACTTGTCCATTTGATTGTGAATGAAAAGGCGGTGTCTTAATGTGCTGGATACCATTCTGTGCACAAAAAGTTGAAAATGCAGCTGAAGTGAATGCAATGACATTATCGGAAACTGGTATCTAAGGGATTTCACATCAACTGAAGATTTGTTTTAATTTAAGAATTGTTTCATCTGAGGTGATGCAATTACATCTGAAAAGTTTCTGACCATTTTGCTATAAGCATCAACGAGAATAAAATAATACTGCCACTTGATGGGTCCAACAAAATTGTTGTGGATTCCGAGATGAAATTCAGTCTCCAATGAATAACAAAGGCAAGAAATAAAGATAAGAAATTAAATGTATTTACACAATAATACAAAGGACAAAGGGTAATTCTGTTAGTAAATCCAGGAACGAGGTTAGTTAATATATATATATATATATATATATATATATATATATATATATATATATATATATATATATATATATATATATATATATATATATATATAGTCTCAGTAGGACTTCCTTAGAGTCGGGCGTGCTTGTAACTGTGACTTCTACAAGCGGTTACCTCACACTATTACTCTACCTCCAACTCAATCACAATCTCTGCTCGCTCTCGCTCTCTCTCTCTCTCTCTCTCTATTCTGACTGACTCTGGGTATTTAACGGCAGCAGTCCAAGTAACACTCTGGTTGAGTCCACTTATATGAAAAAGGGGAAGATCCCATAACAAAAATCAGTGTGAAGATGTGACCAGGGTGATTCGGGGATAGGCCAGGAACTGAATGTAGTTTTCCAGAGAGATTTTGCTGTCAGTTGGCAATTGGAACATATGTGTACCAATTCCTCCAACTGCTTATCCATGTTTGGCCAATAAACATAGCTTCATGCTAGAAATTTCATGCAACCAATACCTTGATGACCATAATGGAATTGCTTTAGTACTCTTTCATGTAATGAAGATGAGACAATCAAGGATTCAGCAAAAAGAAGATCAACGCTGAAAGAATGGCTGAATTCTTTTGTCAGTGCATATTTCTGACCATTTTGTACAATGGAAACATGTCACATTTTTAACACTAGATCAGATGCTGTGGCTTCCAGCATCATTGTGGACGTGACTGGTAATGTTCTTACAGTGGATACAAGCACTGAAGGGACTTCTGGCTCTAGAAATAATGCTGCGATGACTGAGTCTTCTAGTACTTTATTTTGTGCAGTCATGAGCCTTGATAATACATTGGCATGGCCAACTGTATTTGTTGAATTGTATTTTATATAAAAATTATAATCTAATTGCATAGCCCATATTTGCGTTCAGTTTACTGCATACACTGGGATGCCATTTTTTAGATCCAAAAGTACAAACAAAAGGCTTGTGATCTGTGATCAAAGTGAAATGACTTCCGTACAGTATTTTGTGTCACTTTTTAATAGCAAAGACAATTGCTAATGCTTCTTTTTCAAATCGGCTATAACTTCGCTTTGCCAGTGTCAGCGATCTGGATGCGTGAGTCTTTTGGCTCCAATCATGGAAAATGTGAGAAATGACGGTTCCAACACCATATTTGGAAGCATCAAAGACCACCATAATATCCATGGATGGGTTGTAGAGAGTCAGCAAAAGATTGGAAGAAAGTAAGGACCTTTTTAACCCTAGAAAACTAACCATGGGTATAATATACCCAGCACAAACTTTCCTATTTTTAATTACAATTTTCTGTACCTGATTTTCTTAAATAATATGCTTTTCAGTTCCTATTAATGTTAACTCAAAGTACAAAGTTTGATGTGCCTGCATGTAAAATAATTCAAATGAAGATTTATATTTAATATTGTTTTTTAATATTTTCAAAATTGGGTATGATATACCCATAGTTAGTAGTGGTGTAACTTTAATTGATGGTTAGTGTTCTAGGGTTAATGGGTTAATTGATGGTTAGTGTTCTAGGGTTAATGGGTTAATTGATGGTTAGTATTCTAGGGTTAATGGGTTAATTGATGGTTAGTGTTCTAGGGTTAATGGGTTATGATTAGTGTTCTAGGGATGGGTTAATTGATGGTTAGTATTCTAGGGTTAATTGATGGTTAGTGTTCTAGGGTTAATGGGTTAATTGATGGTTAGTGTTCTAGGGGTAATAGGTTAATTGATGGTTAGTGTTCTAGGGTTAATGGGTTAATTGATGGTTAGTGTTCTAGGGTTAATGGGTTAATTGATGGTTAGTGTTCTAGGGTTAATGGGTTAATTGATGATTAGTGTTCTAGGGGTAATGGGTTAATTGATGGTTAGTGTTCTAGGGTTAATTGATGGTTAGTGTTCTAGGGTTAATGGGTTAATTGATGGTTAGTGTTCTAGGGGTAATGGGTTAATTGATGATTAGTGTTCTAGGGGTAATGGGTTAATTGATGATTAGTGTTCTAGGGGTAATGGGTTAATTGATGGTTAGTGTTCTAGTGTTAATTGATGGTTAGTGTCCTAGGATTAAAGGCTACTTGACCACTACCATGGAACATCATTTTTGAAAAGATTGTTGAGGGACTCACGAACGCGATGAAGTTCAGGCGAAAAAGCACTATAGTGGCTAGCCAAACCAAGGAAGAACGTAATTTTGTTACATTTTTCGGTGTTGGCATGATGTTATTGCTGAGATATTTTTCCGGGTCTGGTCATCTACCATTTTTGTCGAAAATACACCGAAGATATTTGATTGGTTCTCGGAAAAATTCCCACTTTTTGATTTTGACACGGAAACCGTATTATTGAAATCGGCTGAGAGCAGAAAATCAACGTTGGAAAAATTCGTCTTGATTTCTTCTTGTAACAGTGATGTCATCGATTGATGCTGCAACTCTTGTCAACATGGCGTCCATTGTTTGTTTGAAAATGGCTGGCGTTGGTTTGACACCGAAGCTAAAACGGTTAAATCTGAATAATCCCATGTGAGCGTTGATAGTAAGGGGCTCTTTGGACTCTTTGTCAACTTCCATTTGAAGAAATGCATCGGAAAAATCAATCTTTGCAAAGCAAATTCTGTTGTTGAGTTTTGTTAAAAGATTCTCCGCCACTGGAATTGGAAAGTGATGTGCATCCAAAAGAAACCTTCAAACCGGTCGAGTAATCAGCACATATCCAGACTTTTCCTTTTGCATTTTTAACAACTAAAATAGGAGCTGCCAACGCAGGTTTTATTAAAGCTTCTTGCTGAAGACGTTGCAGTTCTTTTTTCAACCATATTCAGAGCAGCCGACTGATCTTTTTGTTAAACATTGGCTTAGAAATTGGTTTTAATTTCAGAGTAATTTTTGTACATCTTGAAAATGCCACTAAATTTATTTTAAAAATATTTTTACATTTCATGTGGCACAAGGTCAAACGGTGGTGAGCAAAGGCTTGTTGTTTCTGACTATCCTACACCCGTTCATTATTCCAAGTTATTCATACACCACAAGAATTCATTTATCGCCATTCAATTCAACACATACCATAATATCGCATATCACAAGGATCATACTCAAACAGCCATGACATGAAAATAAATTCAATTGTTTCTTGTTTCTTTTTTGATATACAAATATATAAAATTATGACATGAAATGCGGGAAGGGGGAAAGTACCCAATAACGAAAATAAAATGAAACAAAACATTCAAAATAAAATTATAATATGTTAGTAGGCAACGTAACCCCACAGAAAAATAAGGAGCCCTCAGTACTCTGCCACTTAGCAGAATCAAACAGCAAATGCTGTGAGGAAATAGAGGGCAGTCAGTTGTGTGCTATGCGGGATACACGCATAGCTGATCATGTATCTTTCAATACATGACTGACGAGGCAAATTTTTTCCCGTAGTAGGTTGCCATTTCTTTCAAGGCCTGAGAACCCGGTCTGTCCTGCTATTTATCCATAGCTGTGGGATAAGAAGAGGATTCATAACTTTCCCAAGGGTATTCAGTCAGTTATGTGTCATGCGTGATACACACGTAGGCGATCATGTATCTTTTGATATATGATGACGAGGAAGATTTTCTTCCCGCAGTGGGTTGACATTTCTTTCTGCGGTAGACGAGTTGCCACCCAAGGCCCGAGAACACGGTCTGTCGTGCTATTTATCAATAGCCGGGGGCGGGGAGAAGAAAAGGATTCCCCCAATACCACCACCACCACCACCGGCTATTGGTAAATAGCAGGGTGCAGAATTAACGTCAACTTCATCCACCGCGACGCGAATGAGTCCGAAATTTTATTGTTGATAAATCCAAAACGGTAGATTTTATCAAAATGTTTTTGTTATTTTCGAATTAAACATGTACATTTACACGTATATTGAACTATTCCGGAAATTTTTATTAAAAACTGCAATTTATCCTTTTGAGGTTCCGAGTTGAAATTAATTTTATCAATCTATCTATCTTCATTATTTTTCTCATCTATCTATCTATCTATCTATCTATCTATCTATCTATCTATCTTCATTATTTTTTCACTCTCTATCTATCTATCTATCTTCATCTATCTTTATCTTCATTGTTTTTTATCACTTCTATCTATCTATCTATCTATCTATCTATCTATCTATCTTATTTTTCTCACTATCTATCTTCATTATTTTTCTCACTATCTCTATCATCTATCTATCATCTATCTATCTATCTATCTTCATTATTTTTCTCACTATCTATCTATCTATCTATCTATCTATCTATCTATCTATCTATCTATCTTCATTATTTTTATCACTATCATCTATCTATCTATCTATCTTATTTTTCTCACTATCTATCTTCATTATTTTTCTTCATCTATCTATCTATCTATCTATCTATCTATCTATCTATCTCTTCATTATTTTTTATCACTATCTATCTATCTATCTATCTATCTATCTATCTATCTATCTTCTATCTTATTTTTCTCACTATCTATCTTCATTATCTATCTATTCTATCTATCTATCTTCATTATTTTTCTCACTATCTATCTATCTATCTATCTTCATTATTTTTATCACTATCTATCTATCTATCTTATTTTTCTCATTATCTATCTTCATCTATCTATCATCTATCTATCTATCTATCTTCATTATTTTTCTCACTATCTATCTATCTATCTATCTTCATTATTTTTATCACTATCTATCTATCTATCTATCTATCTTATTTTTTTTCACTATCTATTTCATTATCTATCTATCTATCTATCTATCTATCTATCTATCTATCTATCTATTTTTCTCACTATCTATCTTCATTATTTTTTCTTCATTGTTTCTATCTATCTATCTATCTATCTATCTATCTATCTATCTTCATTATTTTCTCACTATCTATCTATCTATCTATCTATCTATCTATCTATCTATCTCTATCTATCTATCTTATTTTTCTCACTATCTATCTATCTATCTATCTATCTATCTATCTATCTATCTATCTATCTATCTATCTATCATTTCTTATTACGGAATTTATTGACACAAAAGTAAAACAAAATGATCTTTTTTTTTCGAGTGAAATTATAATTAAATTTTTTGCTCTGACCGAATTCGATTTTACTCTTTGAAGCTGAAATTAGTTCCAGTTGAAATAATAAAAATCTCTTCAAAACTTTCAATAAACAAAATCGACTTTTTCTTCTGCCAATTTCTTCTCCCCATCGTTTGTCAGCTGCACAAGAAAAACCTTCACAATTTGCAAGTTATAGAACATTTGATTCTTTGCTTCTAATTTAAAACAATAGAAACATAAACAGAAAACAAATTCTAGTCATTATTTTCAGCGAGATGGGAATTTTATTTCTCGGTTTATTCCAGTCGAATGAGATGAAAGAATTTTTACAATCGTAAATAATTACTTGATACCAAAATAGGTGACATTATTATAGTTACCAGCAACATTATTTAGAAAGGAATTGGTGGAGAGACATGATCGCCCGTATGATATTCAAAAGAAGAAAAAGAACAATTCTTATTCTTTTATGTGCCGTATCCCTTAAGGACGTAGGCGATCATGGCCCTCCACTTTCTCCAATCCCTTGTAGGTCTCAATAAGTTTTTCTTTTGGCTACTTCTTTCAGACCTTGTTCTGCTAACCACTTCCTTAAGCCTGCTAAGTACGTCACACGTTGCATCCCCTTGTAACTCTTTCCCTCTATCAACCCTGTGGGTATCAGATTTTCCAAGCCTACCCTTCTCTTGACGTGTCAAAGAAATTATGGTTATCTTTTCCTGATGTTAAGTATAAGTTTTCTCTTTGTTTTTATCCTCTCCAAAACCTCATCGTTGCTCATACCCTCGGTCCATGATATCCTTAGCATCCTTCTGTAGAACCATGTCTCCGTTGCCTCGAGTCTCTTCTTCGTCTTTGAGGAGACCGTCCAACATTCGCTGTCGTAAAGGAGGGCAGCTGTTCAGTATTCTTCTCTTTGTCACCAACAAAACCCTCCTGTCTCGTAATAGTCTGCCTAGCTTTTGGGATTCGTCTTTGGCCGTCCTAATCCGTCTTCGGATCACAGCGTCGCACTTACCGTCCTCTGTCAGTACACTTCCCAGATATTTAGATTTCCGCACTTGCTCGAATTTAGTGTCCTCGATCTATAAAGCGCATTTCGGTCTCATCTTTTTGCTGATGACCATGCATTCTGTCTTCTTATATTTTAGGCTTAGTCCCTTCTTCTCGCTCTCCTTCGCTACCTTGTGTAGGTTTTGAACTCATATATATTGTTATCCGCCATATCGTTCAAATTCCACCAGTTTTCATAACGAGTATTTACGGTATGGAGCTGATAGCTGCCCAATCAATTTTGAATTCAAAGTTGTATTTCTAGACTGACTACGAGCCAAAAACTAAAAGCACAGTTCTTCCTGCTATTTAACTGTAATGGTGGACAGAAGTGGATATTTGCGGAAGGTATTTGAGCGAAATTGAATGCAACGAATTATATATATATATATATATATATATATAAAGTAAAAAAATTTTACTACGTTAATAAAACATCGAAAACCGAAAAAAATAAAAAAAATGAAAATGAAAAACAAGTAAAATAAATTAACCCAAACAAATAAGTAAACAAACAAGCCACTCTCGCAAAAATAACCGCCCGAATAGATTACCCACAATGCACTACGTATAAATATTCGAGAAAGAATCCGACACTCGCGGCCTGATAATTTCGTCTAGCATGAAACAGCCTGTCGCTTTTGAGTGTTGACTTCAATTTTTAGTTTTATATTTATTATTTACATACGCTCTATCTCTGATATTGAGCACTTTATCCCATAAATATAGCACACCTTAAAACTATATTTCTTTAAATATATATATATATATATATATATATATATATATGCATATGTATATATATATATATGTATGTATATGTGTATATATATATATATGCATATGTATATATATATGTATGTATATGTGTATATATATATATATATATATATATATATATATATATATATATATATATATATGAACAAAAAGGATCAATTTATTAAATGCATTAGTTACACGTAGAAAAAAAAATAAGGACCTACGTACATCAAATCGTAAGTGTCGACAGAAGAATTAACGTTAAACTTTTAAAAGAGTAAATTAAGGTTTTAAGGCTTAAATATTAATGTAATAATTTCAGCTTTCAATTTTGAGTTATTCTGTAGTTTATTGTTGCCTATTGCAACTATTCCACCCTACCTATTGTGACAAAGCCTCAATCAAGAGCCCGCCGCAGGCGGTAGCTAAAAATGCCGCACAGCAGGGCATTTTATAAGCTAGCACACACATACGCACACACTCATTTATATATATATATATATATATATATATATATATATATATATATATATATAATGAACAAAAAGGATCTTATTCACAATTTAGCAAATGCCTTAGTTATAAATCTTCAACCGCAACTTAAAATCCCACACTTATTAAAAAAGAAATTAACTTATCAGATTTATATTTTGGTAAGATTGTAAAGCGCCACACACTACTTTCTTCCCTACCGGAATTATTCAAATATCTCCGCTGCTGAAAGAATTATTCCTTGCCCAAACACATATTTCTCATGATCTATCTATCTATCGATCTATCTATCTATCTTCATTATTTTCTCACTATCTATCTATCTATCTATCTATCTATCTATCTATCTATCTATCTATCTATCTATCTTCATTAGTCACACATGACTATAAAAATGTATAAAAAAATCAAAGAAAACGGTTAAATTCGAAACCTCTTATAATTAATTATGATTAATTCATCTCATGCTGAAATAATTTAAATATTTATTGCATAAAATAATTCAACAAGCACATCATTTACTCACTTACAATTACACCATCCGCACATCCATCCTATCAACGAGGATATATTTATGCTTAATATTCATTTATAATATCTAATAACCAAGGTTGTATTTAACAAGATGTGAAACAAATTGGTTCACTCTAAAGATGACAAAATAAAAAATCATAAATAGTTCATACACAAATCTTTCATACACAGACCTATCGATTCGAGTGCTCCTTGTACAACTGCAATAATTGATGTCTTCATGCGCCATATTTTTGATATTTCCACATGAAGAGTTTTGTATTTTGATAGGCTTTTGGAAATCTTTATTATTATTATTATTATTACTAGTGTACCTTTGCCGTGAAAATTGACGGCAAGAAAGAAGGTATTATGTATTATTTTGAAATTAATTTTCGTTTAATCCAATTACAATTTTTTCTGTGTTAAATTTGAGGGGGAAGCGTGGAAAATAACGATGACGATATTCAGTCCCCACCACGAGGGTGTCATGTGGCACAGGGCCTTTTTAACGTCGGCCAAAAATATGCCCATTGAACCCGTATAAACGGGTTCAGGGCCGGTTTTACCTCCCCGAAGGAGACTTCGCCCTTCGGCGTAGCCTCCTTCGGATTACTCTCCATCCGTAGGAAGAGAGTTCAACCGAACAGTCGCTCAAGAGTTGAGCGACTGACGATATTCAGTCATCCCCACGAGGGTGTCATGTGGCACAAGGTTTTTTAACGTGGGCATTCCCGAGCCATTAGGCTTTTTTTTGAACCCGTATAAACGGGTTCAGGGCATTTTATTTCCCCCGAAGGAGACTTCGCCCTTCGGCGTAGCCTCTTCGGATTACCATTAGGCTTCGGCGCTCAAGAGTTGAGCGACTGACGATTTCAACCCCCCACGAGGGTGTATAAAGGCCTTTTAACGGGTTTCCTGAGCCATTAGGCCGGCCAAAAAAATTTAACCCGTATAAACGAAGGGCCGACTTCGCCCTTCGGCGTAGCCTCCTTCGGGTTCCTCCCGTCCATAGGAAGAGAGTACAACCGAACAGTCGCTCAAGAGTTGAGCGACTGACGATATTCAGTCACCCCCACGAGGGTGTCATGTGGCACAAGGCCTTTTTAACGTGGGCATTCCCGAGCCATTAGGCTCGGCCAAAAAATAGCCCATTTGAACCCGTATAAACGGGTTCAGGGTCGGTTTTACCTCCCCGAAGGAGACTCCGCTCTTCGGGCGTAGCCTCTTTCGGGTTCCTCCCGTCCGTAGGAAGAGAGTTTAACCGAACAGTCGCTCAGAAAGTACTGACTCGACTGACTGACTGGAAAATAACGATGACTTACCCACCCAAATTCAAGTTATGTTTTTTTCTTTGGAAAGAAAAAAAGTAACTTTTGTTAAATACAAATTATGAGAGACATACATGCAACATTAATGTGCCAATACACAGAATAGGTTGAGTAAACCCCGTTGTCAAGGAATTATGCAAAATAAGTGGAGTTAGCATACTTACTAGTATCATTATTGAAAAAAAATGTCTTCACAATACAAGACGCCAGGCGTTATTGAATGAAGTTGTATGAACGTAATTCTAAGTTATGACGAAATGCAGGATAGATAACGTTGACCCGAGAAATGGCGAGGTTAAGATAATACTGATCTGGCAGTCATCTTCTCGGACGTCAGTTCCACATTGTAGCGGTTCTTGGGAAGAAGCTGGACTTCTGAAACCTCCTCGCTTTTAAAGGAGTACAAAGCGGATGAGGATGGTTCGCCGCAGTGTACCTCGCAGGTCTTAGCAGCAATGGTGTGAACTGTTGCGACGAATGAACGTTGCTCGCCTGCACATTCGTCATGGAAAACACGATCGAATAGAGAGAGGCTTGTTACTGTGGGAAAGGGGTTGTATAATTGATAATAATTCATCACCCACAAGGCCGCGTAGACACTTGGAAAATTATCATAGCTGGAAAGTGAGCCTAGAGAACAACAGGCCAGATATCTCACTAGTACTCTATTTAAGTTTCGATCTGGCCCGTGTACAACGTACAAGGAGGTGTCGGGTAGTTGTGGAGAGCCATGACCATTGACATTGAATATCAAAGAAGCAGAATTATTGCTCATTGTTATCTCTCATATTTACTCAATCAAGTCCTTGTCTCACGCTTGTTTTTATTATTTTTATTCTTCCTTGACTTTTTTCTATCCTTAAACACGCAGCTAATTCCCAGCCATTCAATTGATCTTTGTAGCGAAGCTTGTTCAAAGTTTGTCTTTGTCATCAACTGTATAGACGTTCCTGCATTTGTATAGAACGCTCTGATAGGAATTCTATAATACAAAATAGTATTTCTTGTCGCAGTGTCTTGAATTTATTGCTTTTTTTCTCCACAATTTCTCGTCTAATTCTATTACGAACTCTATTCATCAAAATTGAAATGACAAACTTAGTTATTTGGCTCGTTACTAAAGATTCTTAAATCTGATTTTTAACGAACATTGAACTTGTGAAAATAAAGAGAGTCTAAATGATTACTTACATTATTTATATTATTCGAACTGTTATCCTCATCTTCATTGCCATATGCCCAACGTTTCGGTCGTTGTACGCACCGGCCTTCTTCAGGTGATTGGAATTTCTAACTGAACCATTTATTTCGTCCACCGAGATAGATTGTTCTAGTTCCACGTTCCATGCTTCTTCCGGATGTCTCAGTTATCTCCCTTTAACTCAACTGCATTGAACTGCTCCCCATGGTCCACTGGATAAAGGCCTTGGCTAGATTAAGTGATTAAACCTAAAAAGTACTGAGGTGAATACTACTCTACAGCAGTGGTGAAACAAATTATATTAAAATGCTGTTATTTATTATTTATTAATTTTTCTAGGTTTATCCATGCGCTACACTATATATATATATATATATATATATATATGTGACGTCGTCCCCCGGCCAGCTTTTCGCTCCTCGCTGCTCCGTCCGGGTGTCGCTGCTCCAAACGTGACGTCCGCCTGTCGCGTCAGTTGTGTTGCCTCGTACTGTGACGACCAACTGGCTTGGTATCGGTCGCGGCACCCAAATGTGACGTTCTAACCTTTTGGTGATTCGGGTGGGAATCTGGTTCCCAACTGGCTTCCAACGCCTGGTTACAAAGGTAACTGCATTGATCTCCAGTTTGCCTACCCACGTTGTGAATTGATCTTAGACAGACGAGATCAAACAGTGGTTGGGGCCGTAATGCAAATTGTGTTCAACGGAGGTGATAACACACAAATATACATAAAAGAAAATAAAATGAAAACTCAAAAAGTTCAAAGTATCAAAGAAAAAGGTAACAAACTTTATGTCTAGTTGTTCGATACATAGGACTGCATCTATCTCCCGACCCATTCTGTGAATTGTGACACGTCGTTTTCGCTAGGCAAGTTTTAGCGCTTCAAGTTGTTTGCTCTCTAAGAAATTTGTGTTTCGGTGTGTCTTTGGACGAAAGTCGAAAAAACTTATTTCGGTGGTCTGGTCCTAAGTCGCTCTTCCAAATAATTGTTCTTGGTTGAAGAGGAGTCCGAAATTTTGCGTGAATCTTGGTCAGCTATCTTGAGGCGGCTTCAACTCTGGAAACTGGAGCTCGAACTCTCTGGACACTCATCTCTGCCGCCAGGGCCCGAACTGATTTCTGCCTGTTGGGGCTTCGTTTTTTTTTATTGACGCCGACCAAAACCGGGGTGGGTCTGTTGGCGTCGGGGTTCCTCGATAATTCTAAATACATATCCACCTCTTTTTTATTTCTGGTTAGGGATTTTCCACTCTTTTCCATTTTTGGTAACTTTTTTTCACTCCCACATTCTCACCATACTTCTGAGGGGCGTGAACTGCCCTCCCCACTTCTTCGTAGCAGCTTCTCATACTTACACTCTGGATGGGGGCGTCGACAATGAGGTCTTGGTCGGGTATCTTTCCTCCCCCTTCGTGCGTCACGTGATCACCACTTGACCAATGATGTCTTAGTCGGGCGTGAACAATCCGCGGCTTTGTTTCGGAAAAAAATACCTTGCTTAACTAAAATTAATTATCTCTTCTCTTTCCTTTTTCTTCCTTTCAAATCGCCGTTATCACTTCTCTAGCCACGAACGGATAATATGACAACTCTTTGTTCAACACGTGGCGTTTGTCAGGTAGTTTATCGCTAATTCATCAAGATGGTTGGTTTTCCCGACATGGCCTCAGAAAAGAATTATCCCCAAAAATTTCAGTCAGTCTGTCGTCTCCAAGGAAGAAAGAAAAACATTTCTGGTTCCCATTTATTTTCCTTCGGTACATGTGTCTGATAACATAATTTTATTATCGCAGGGCAAAGTTGTTTTGTTGAAAGGAATTCGGTCAGCGCTCTGCTTGTGTGGGATTTAATTTTTCATATCTGTCCAAAGTCCTTTTTAGTGGCCTGTTTCTCGTTACTTATCGAAATAGCATTTTCACTTGAATTTTTCCTGGGCCAGTGGTCTAGCCATTCGTTTACGTACCTAGATAACATAGCCGTTATCAAAACACATCTGGTTCCTTCTGTCTTTTCCTTTTCTTTTTTTTTTTTTTTTACTCAGAAATTCCCTGTCATTGTAATGACAAACTTTTTCACTTGTTACTTATCAATATTTTCATTGTCTCTTAGGCCATGTGTGTGGCTGTTTTATCACCTATGATCCGTCTCGAATTGTTTTCTGCCTTCTTTTCTTTCTCTTTCTTTCTATGCCTCGTAAATGGTGCCACAATATATATATATATATATATATATATATATATATGTGTGTGTGTGTGTGCGTGTGTGTATAAATAAAATGAAAGAACAGTAAGATATATAATCCGGTGTTCTTATAGATATTTTTAT